TGCAGGGCAGGGACTGGGGCTCTGAAAAGCACTCCGGGCGAGTTCAATGTCAAGGAAGCTAGAAACTCTGCTCCGGAGACCCTAAGCAGGGAGCAGCTAAACAATAGCCTAGGAAAAAAATCAATTTTCCTTGGCTTTGTTCTCATCTGAAAAATGGTATGTGTAGAAGGATGTTAGAGTATATACAAATCGATTTCCTACTGTATTAGGATAAAAATACAAAGTTGTAAAACATTCCAAGCAGAGGTAAGAGGATACATTAAGACACCCCTGTGACTCCTGAACCACAAGATGAGGCAGAAATCAAGGTTTTCTCATACTTTCACCCCCTGTCTCAGAAAGACAAGAAGCAAATTCTGCACATACTATTTCTTCATTTATTTCTTTCCCCTCTAGAAAAATCCACTACTCTAAGATTACTGGTTCCCCTGCCCATTGCATTTGCTTAACCACATAATTGGTTATCTGAAAATCCTTTTAATTCTTTTGTGGGTTTCAATGTACATAAACTGGATTCTACCACATTTTACACAGAACACTTCACTAAGCTCTATGAAACTTACCATTTGGGGTGTCTCTCACTCTCTGATGGTATTCCACAGGGATAAACCATAGCCGATTGGTTTACCTTATCTGCAGACATTTGAGCTAACTATACTTTCATATAAATAAAATCACAAATACGGTATGTATCTCACCCCAGGTGCCCATGCTGTCACGTGAAGGAGTCTCTAGGGGAGAGCCTAGGCATGAATCTGTTGGTCATGCACAGTTCCAAACTTACTGTGCATTTCCAAATCGCTCTCCAAAATAGTTATACCAATTTACTTTTTCTAGAAAAATTAACACACACATTCCACACTCCACACTCTTATCAACACTTGGTACTATAAAACTTACACATTACTACCTATATAAAGGATTTGGTGTGTCAAATAATAATTATACCTAAATAATATTTTCCTAAAGTCCCCTCTGGTCATATAATTATGGTAATCACATCAATGCCAAATCTTATCAAAATAACAAAAAAAAAAAAAAAGATTGAGGAGGAGAAAAAGTTTACAACGGATTTACTTTTCTTCAAAAAGTATCTTTCATGGCCAAAGTTGGCCCATGACCCATACATCAGGCCATAAAAGAGGAATGGGGACATGGCCCCAGTTCTGTATTTATTTTCTTGTGCTCATAATCCAATGTTACTTAAAAAGCAAACTGCCCAATATTCAAGCCAAGGCAAATACACTGGATTTTGCCAGGGAAAATGCCTGTGGAGAAATGAGTCAATTCATACAAAATTCAAAACTGTCTTTGGTCAGTGACATTTTCATGAAAATTTGTGGGTGGGTAAAAGTTTTGCAAAATTCTTTCTTGCTATTGGATTAAATTCATCCAGGAAAAATAAGCAAAATGTAAGTGGCAACCCGCATCACCCCTAATTCCCTTCTTAACACTCCCTACCCTCCTAGCACAACTGCTTTCAATTGTGCAGGAAAGGAGGCCAGGTGGTTCTGGTCCTAAACAGGGCCCTGGGCCCCTGCTCCTTGCACAGGATCTTTCTCAGCACATGCACATGTGAATGGCTTCTCACGCCATTCACGGCGACCTTCAAACCCTCCCAAAGAAATATCACTGCACACTGGGCAAATTTTAGCCTAATGGCAGAAAGACCTCTGTAGGGTGAAAGCATTTGACATGTTTTTTTTTGGAAGGACAACTATGGAAGCCTTATTGATATAGTTTAATGATCTTATATACCGTATGACTGGTGTGAGGAGGAGGAGGAGGAGGAAGAAGAGAGAGGGAAAAAGGGAAAGAGACAGAGAGACAGAGAGGCAGACAGAAAGAAACTTTGTGCCTCTTAAGATTTGCTCCACACTGAAAACCAAGAAGCCCATCATCTCAGAAAGACTTAAGAAAACTTGGCAGAGTGACAATGGTCAACAAGAGGAGACTTACCAAGGACAAAGCAAGAAGGTAGAAATAGAATGGTGGACACCTAGGCACCACTTAAGTTAACAGACAGGAGGGAATGGGCATGGGTACTTCAAAATACAACCTTGACACGACTTGGTTTCGAGTCATTTGAGATCTGTCTCTTTGCCTATTTTGCTTCCCAAAATATTGCCACTGTCTTGAACTGTCCACTCCATGCAAGCAGAGCTTTCAGGACAGAGCTGGCTTGTCTTTCCACAGAGGCCATCAGAACACAATCTAGTGACAGGCGGGGCTGTTTGGATAAGAATGGAGCACATCCTTTTCTTCCAATAACAGAACCAAATGATGAATTAGGAATATTCCCCTGATTGTGCCACCAAGAATCCTGCAAGATCTAAATCCCAGGTTCTGGGTTAGTCTGCAGGGTCACAATGAGGAATGAATGATAAAATGCATTCTCGCACGTAGCAAGGAGAACTTGGCATGCAGGGAAGATTCCACAGAAGCCTCTTACTGTAAAGCAGGCCTTAGCCCCGACACACCCTCCTTTTACCATGACTTCCAGAAGTTCTTTGTGCGGCTTGTAGTCATGGTCACCGAACACACAGGGTCCACCGTTTCTTGGTTCAGTGATCCCAGTAAGTGAAAATGATGACTAAGTCCAGCTACCCCATATAAAGGAGGAGTAAGTCAGACAAACATAAAATAAAAATGGACCCGGCCTTCCCATTTAAACCACTCACCACAAAATCCGAAGAGCACGTCTCCAGATGAGCATGATCATTTTACCCTGCACTGCTGTTGGAAGGTCTGTGTACCTGGATCCTGTGGGTGTGTAAAGACTCACAAAGGGCAGGGGGATGCACCATGCAAGTGTTCATCCCCGCTGAGCACAATGCCTCCTTGTCCATGGACCACAATTTGAGACATCCACCAAACCTCTACAGGACTACCTACCGCCAGCCTTCTGCAGGCCCACACAGACTGAGCACATGACACGAAGCCACATAAACAGTCTTCAGAAGATACAAGGTTCATTATGTGTAAGTTCGCAGAAAATGGCTGTCTTCCTGTTAAAAACGTACACTCCCAACAGTGCAATCATAGCTTCAGCTCCTCCTAAGAACGCTGCTTTGTCTGAATGCATTCGCACCCTAGCATGCAATCCTGGGTTTGCTATGCTATTGGATTAGTAGTGCCTGGTTCTGCAAAGGTTCCACCCGTTAATGAGGGAAGGGCAGATTAGGAGAGCAGAGGCACCTCATCTGCCCATCCTGAACAGCGCGATGAACAGCGGTGCTCACCTCTACAGCTATTTTTAATATTCGTCATGCTCTCTAGCAGAAGTCAATTCTGTAGAGTTAAATGCCTTTGAAAACTCTGGGACCAGAGGTGAAAACAGGGAAATCCTTTTGCATTAAAATTAATTTTGTAATGCCAAAAAAAACATTTTTATATAATTCTAACTTTAACATTTATTTCAGTAAAGTCAAATCCAGTAAACCATTTTCAGCCGGGGTTAGTCAGAATGAAAAGGTTGGGCTGTTTTCCTTCAGAAAACTGGATGTCTTTCCTGCTTGCAACAGGCTCCTGTGTTCCAAGCAGAGTAGGTAGAATTGCCTTCAATCGCTTGTCGCATTCTGTCATTTTAAACACAGAACCCTACCGACAGAGTGAGGCTGGGCCCCCTGGAATGTAATTATTCTTTTCACTCAGAGAACTGGGTACTCTCACGAGGCATCGGCTTCAGGTTTTCCTTCAGAAAAATCACAACACGGGGCATAACGTAATGACAAGAAATGCAATTCCATTCCACCAGAAAGCCTTAAAAATACCTAATGCCTGGTGAAAAGTGCTTCTAAATCCTGCAACCCAGCTCTAGCCTGTACGTTGTGCTTTTGGCATGAATCAGAACCTGGCCAGTCTACAGGCAAACACAGTCCTGACGCTTTGTATCATCACCTACTGCAGGAAGAGATGGTGCTGGTTGGGAGACCACAGTTCAAACCCGCTCCCTTTCAAACTGGTTTATAGTCTCTACCTACTGATCTCCAGAACTCTTGATACTAACGGAACACAGAATTCTCAATTCCAACTCTGACGAATTACGCCTGTCCATCTAGACTAATACAAAACATATGCCCCTTCCCCCCCCCCCCCAAGAATTCAGTGAGCCGTCTCAGACTGAGCAAGGCTATCTCTGTGAACCCATGGGTGAAGTCCTGCTTATGAGCCCTGAGGGTTTCTGCGAGGTGTGAAACTGTTGTGAAAGCATGCAAGAATCATATTATTCAAAAGCAGTCGATTTTGCCAAGAAACAGAATCAGAGTTCCAGGATCAGTGTTGGGGAAGAGGAAGGCAGGAGAGCCATTAGACCCATGCGCTTCAATACCAAAGGCCCAGACTTCTCAGCTCAGGCCTTACACTTTTCCACAAAACCCTCTTTCCTCAAAATTATGGGAGATCCCATGAGGCTCTGCTCCTATGGTGTTCCCTTAGTTCTCCCCTGATGACTGTAAATCATTAAAGAGCTTCACGACCCTGGAAGGCACAAAGTGCTGGCATGCATTAGTCAAGTCCCTACATGGAGAAAACCTTTCTTAAATGTCAAAATCATTCCTCCCCGACACCTAAATTTTTGGAGGTTAAAAAAAAAAAAAGCCTGAATATCTACTTTGGAAAAGAGCAAAAGCTTGCTTGTGGCACAGTGCGTGGTCCCCTACTTTTGGACATCCACGTACTCTGTGTCCCTCCCATATTTCCTCAGACTACGGTAAGGCGGACTGGCCTCCACCACCTCGGTGGCAGGGGGCTTGAGCTAGAACGGTGAGAGAAACCAGCAGCCAACAGTTGTTAAAGAAACCTTCCCCTTGTGCCTGCTGGCTGACGTGGCGAGCCACCTAACCGGTACCTTCCCCCCCATCACACATCCACATTCCACACAAACAGAGACTGTTAGCCAACTCCTTGGTCATGCTTGATAAAAGGCGTGTGTGAAATGCGTGGAAAGCAAGCTGGGCCTTAAAGAAAGGTGGCCCAGGACTCAGGAAACTCCAACTCACCGTACACTTGTTGGGCTTCTCCCCGGAGTGGACCCTCATGTGGATCAGCAGTTTATAGCGGGCGTTGAAGGGCTTGTACCTTCTAGGGCAGCCGGTCCAGAAGCAGGTGAAGTCTTCCCCCTTGCGTTGGTCGATGTGGACCTTCTCGATGTGCCTCACCAGCTCCTCCTGCTGGTCGTACAGGGCACTGCAGTCTATCCAACGACAGCAGTGCTTTCCCCCGGAGTCCTCCATCTCCCCGTCCTCATCCAGGCCAGCCTGGGCCAGGGCCAGCGATTGGGTGTGAGGCAGGAGCTCTGGGTGATGAAGGTGCGGGTGGGCATGGTATGGGGGTGGAGGGCCCTGAGGCGGGGGAAGAGGAGGGAGAGGCGGCGCGGAGGGTAGGTCCAAGGCACTGCCCGGGAACTCCTCCAGACGCTCCGTTTTGAGCACGTTGGCTGTCTGGCCCTCCGGCCCCGGTAGACCAGGCTGCAACACCATGTTGTTTACGGGTCCAGGCTGCAGGCCACCATGTTCCAGCTGCTGCATGCGTTCGTACTCCAGTGTACCGTCTTCGCCATAGCCCGGCAGCGTATGTCCTCCGCTGGCCACCAGCGCACCCTTCTGCCCGCTGGGCGCTACACACGACTGGGGGATGCAGCTGCCGCGAACACCCAGGAAATGCCCATAGACCTCTGACTGTGGCGACATACTGGCTGGGGAGGCTCTTGACCCATTGATGTAGGCAACCAAGGATGTGGGCGAAGTGCGGATGATAGTATTGAAGTCAATCCCGATGCCATCAGACAGTGGGGACAAGGACAGCGCTCGCTTCTTGGAGCGGGTGGAGTGGGACCTGGTTGCTGAGTGCCGAGGGCTAGGATAAGGAGAGTGGCTGTTTTCCATGCCAAAAAGGTAGGGCGGCAACGAGTTCGAGACGCTGTTGCCAGGCACTGGTGTGCCCGGAGGCAAGCTAAGGAGGTCCCCTAGGTCCATGCCATTCTGAGAGCTGTGGCTGGGTGCAAGTGAAGGGAAAGCCCTGTAGCTCTGAGACCACTCCTGCTTCACGCTTAGCGCTGATTGGCTCTCTGTCAGACTCAGCGTCGTCGAGACCAGAGACTCTTGCAAAATAACGGACCTGGAGCAGCAGCCAGAGAAAAGGGAGAAGAAAAACATTTCAGTGGGACGTGGATTGCTTTAGAGCTAAGAGTTTTATACATCGCACCGACAGTCCCTTAAGTATTTCCCCTAATTGCATTCCCCACCAAGCACAAGTTCTTGGACTATGATAAAATCCAAGGCTTTTAGTTCCAGGTAAATAGTATTTTACCAAGACAAACAATAAAAGCTAGGGCTTACTAGACTAATAAAAGAACTATTGTTATAAACAGTTCTTCTATTTAATGAGAATAAACAGTCCTCACTGTATTTCAAAATATCCTTTTGTTATACAAAAGGGGGAAATTGGGGCCTAGGAAAAAGTTAATAGATGTTTGTCATGGTAAACCAAATGAGTGTTTGTTAAGCACCTACTGGGTGCCCCATGCTGTAGTAGGTTTGCAGGCCACATAGTTCTGAAAAAAACTAGCCTTCAATTCAATTCTGCTTGGGAAGGTAACATACAAAACCATGTTTTTTTTAAGTAAATCTTCGAAGATAAATATTGTGCTAGAAACTTAGTAATAATTTTGCAATTCGGTTTCACTGATCTTATCCAAATCAGAAATTTTGAAAGAGCAGCTTAGAGTGTAAATACTCATACATCTCCAAAGGCCTTAGATAATTTATGCAAATGTAAAATACGTGGACGCAAAGCACAACCTAACATACCAGAGGCAGAGTTCACTCTTTATTACACACACACACACACACACACACACACACACACACAGTCCTTAAAAGAACAGAATTTTTACACATAAAGGAGTAAAACACTGACATGCTGCATTTGGAATCAGGCATCAGGCCGAGCAGGATTTAACCATGTTTGTTAGATGGGGTTCCCATGAGCTCTTGTCCTTGAATCCAAGCAGCTCTAGGCCGAGAACAGGCCATTCACTTACAGTGGTTCATTTTCACAATTCCTTCCCTGTCCTTACTCTTCAAAAAAAAAAAAACAAAAAAAAAAAAAAAAAAAAACCCTGAATTTGTCACAATCCATTGTTTGCATATCAAAGTGGTTCATAATGGTAACTCTAGCCCCTTGAAAATTCATTTTGTTTTCCAAGGACATCATAATTGCCTTTAAAACCAATAAAAATGAAAAGCTATGTCCCTGGGACAGAGCATTCATATCCCCAAAAAGGGTGAACGCACAGACACAGAGAAAAGGTACCAGATCCCAACTCAGACACCTCAGGCAGCTGAGAAGCTTGGCTTACTGGTAGGTGTTTACAACTGGCTTTCTAGAGACTTTTATTTAAATAAATTAATCACCAAAGCTTGTTATATAAAATGTGTGACTTTCCCGCGTGAACACGTTTACTGTCTCCAGCTGTTAAATATCAACCTGTTGTAAAGGAAGTGAAGGAAGGGGGAAGCATCATTTCACCTTTCCCCTACTCCACTTCGCAGAACGGAAACCAGGAATACTGTTTCTGCCAAGCCTGGGATACGTGAAGAAACCATCTCGGCTCTGAAAAGCACAGCGCAAGGTGGTAACACAGCAATCGACCTGAGGCCGGCTGTCGGGTAGGGTAATGTTTACCAATGGCAAACACAGCAGGAACCTATGTCCAGCTACCCTTGACATAGATTGGTTTCTTGCCTCACATCCTTACATTTGGACTAAAGTCCTTCTGCAACTTCCAGAGTGGCCCCTCCACGGTTCGGATTTTAATTCCCCATGGTCACCTCTCGGTTCTTTTCTGAGCACGCTCACAGCACGCAGCTCCTCCTGCAGTGCCCAGCTCAAAGCTCTGGTGACTCGGTGGCAGAAGCCTTCTGACCCTATCCCCAGTGAGAGTCGGGAATTACAGGACCCAGCTGCATCCGTGGAAATGCCACGTGCGAAGCAGAGAGGACTGGCTAGGGCCATCGGAACACGGACAGCGCTCCAGGGCTCAGCAGGTGGCCGTTCTCAGGCGGCAGCCACTTTAGAGCATTGCAGACTTCTAAATGGGAACCAACAGCTGGAGCAGCCCGTTCAATGGCACGCACTCTGCTGATAGAACTGCTCTATTCAGTTCAATAGCAGCATAGAGAAACGTTCACTTTTCCAACAATGAAAGGCGAGTCTTGTTGCCCTTAAATTAGTATAACCGTGGCTCAACTTACAGCACAGCATACCTGGGAGCAGGCACGCTGCTTGACTTCTTCAGCCTCTCAGTTTTCCAAGGCAGTTGGTGACATATTTTTCGGAAAGCGAACTGAATAGTCTACTCAAAAGCAATGGTCTGAACAGAGACCTCTCACTCATGTTCCTCCCTCCCCTGACACCTCAAAGACCTAACAGGAGAAAACTTCCAACAAGAGGCAGTATCTTCCTCCCCTACATCTCTCAGTGATATACTTTAGGAAGCCTAACCATTCAGTCCTGCCCCATGAACTCCATCTTTGTAGGAAGAGTCCTCTCCACAAAACAGCTCTATTGTCTGCACCACACTCTGAAGCACCTGTCTCTTCCTCAGCAAATTCCAAGGCCCCTCAACTGAAAGGATGACTTTTCTCTCCCCCAGTACCTACCAGAATGTTAAATACAGACTAAGTAACTCAAACACTAGTTGATTAAGAAAAGCGTGTAAGGAAGAGCTAGGCCTGATGATGTAAACCTGGGAAGATCATAACCTCAAGGAAAACCTAGACTAGACAAAAGATGCTATCTCAAAGAACAAATAACTAAAATAAAAAATGATCATGACAGCTGAAGAACCACTCTTTGCAAAGCTTACAGAGCTATATATATATTGAATAAACAGTATGAGACAAATTAACTAAACCCTTAACAATATTTTTATAAAAAGAAAGTAACTAAAAATCAGTGAGTTTCCTACTGTGACAGCAAAAAAGAGGTGTAAGGTCCTTAGCAAACTACAAATGTGGGTAAGTGACTAGCAGAGACCTGGCTGGTTCACATTTCCTCACAGTGCATCCTGTATGTGGTCCACAATTCTCTGCTTGATTGAAAGACTTAAAAACCACACAAGCTAGGACTGCATCACAAATTGTCTGTTTTTCTGCAACAGTATGCTGAACAAGTGTGAAGGCTGCCAAGGAGTCTAGCCTGTAACCCCTGCTGCTATGCACACCAGGCCTGTGGAAAAGAAAGTGACAAAGAACTCAGAAGGCTGTGTCACCACACTGAGAGCAATCTCCATTTCCATATGCTCATCTGATCCTAACGACATTATTTCTGGTGACTGGTTTATTTGTAACTGTATGTGAAAGGCAAAGACGATAAATCTCAAACCAAATAAAAGCAAAGCAAAAAACTCAGAAAACCATCAGGAAAAATATGTTCTCACAAAGCCCAAAGAGCTATGATGACCAAGTCGAGCTGTTTTGTTCTAAAACTTAAAAGAAGCTCTAACTTAAAGGTCCTATGGAATCCCTTGGGCTGATGCTCGAGGAAAAACAAGTGTACATATTCAAAGTGTGTATATAACTGAATCTGTGTAAGTATAATATATGTGACACATGTGTTATAAACCCACAGGTCCTAGGAAAGAAGATATGCCATACTGTATCTGGAAATTTTCATCCATGCACCGCAGTAAATCTTCCAAAAAAAGTTATTATGGCTCATACACAGCACAGGTTTATAAGGTATTAGTCTGCACAGGGAGCCTAGAGTCCATTCTCAGTCCTCTTCTTGGCCTTCTCTGAGCTTTCCGGACATACAATGAACAAAGAAGGCATCTTCCACCACCAATATCCAGCCTAGACTACGAAAAGACAAATGCAGAGTATGTCGGCCTACACCGACATCTCTAGATGATGGCTGACCTTTGTAATACTGCCAAACTGACCCTGGGCAAATCAATCAGGCTTTCCGTGTTTGGGGTCCACCATACTTCCGTAGGGATGGCGCTTGCTAGGACTCTAGGTATCCAATCGTTAAGTTCAAATTCACCATGCACGTGGACACTAGGCTTTCCCAGTATCCACAATGATCACAGGAGCATCCTGTCTCCTTTATCCATTAGCTCCGCCAGGCTGACATATTTAACCCCTGTGTGAAGCAGCTGTTGTGTCATCCTTCCAGGCTTGTCATTTAGGGGACACGCCTTTACAGCAGGGTGTGAGGAACACCTAACTTGACAACAGGCTCCTGACTCTTCAACGGAATATGGTGATTGCTTAGCACTGTGGTGTGCTAAAGAGAAATGAGCGGGAAGTCAATTACACCAAATACACAGGCCGGGGCAAGATTCCCACCATCGGATTAAAGAGAACACAAGCTATAGGAGGAGCAGGTTCTTAAAGGAGCACGCCAGAAGAAAAACACATTCAAATCAAGGAGGAAGGGAGGGAGGGAGGAGGGAAGGGAGAGAAGGAAGAAAGAAAGAAAGAAAGAAAAGAAAGATGACAAACCTCAGAAAAACTGTTCAATATTATCAATGATGCAAAGTATCAATTAAGATAATTACACAATTATTACATATAAATCTCAGTGCACGCTACTGTCTGAGACCACCACATAGGCTTGTCTTTTCCCCAGTACAACCTGAAACTGCCTATTAACAGCAAAGCTACTATTAATAGCTGTCCATTTAAACCAGCAAACCGTTAATTCCTAAGAATTTATTCCAATCACCAGAGACATGAAGTAAAAAAATTCTGCAGGTTAACCAAACAAAATATTATCTGTAATACTAAAGTAAGAGACAGAGCCACAATGCAAGCGATCAAGGAAAAGAAAGACATGCAATAGTCCTACCCTGTGGTGACGCCTATGAACCACAACAATGATCACCATGGTAAGAGAACCCTAAAGGTACAATAGCGGCACCCACATCTTCGTGGTAACCAACAGCTACCTACTCAGACCGAAGTCCTATTCAACAGGAGGGAAACCGCAGCTGGTACTATAAACCTAGCCAAGAATTTGTGCCTAGTCACTTTCCCTAACTGCTTTATACACATGCATCCTCATACTCACAGATATATGCAACTTTCATTCCTCAACAAAGAAACTACACATCACAGCATATGGAGGCCATTAGAAAACACCACACCTAGTCAAAATGCAAAAGCAATCTACAACAGGATTGTCCATCTATAAGACAACCATGACACCCTCAAGGAAGAGGAAAGGAAAGGTTGTGATAGCCAACAGACCAGGAATGTTGTGTCTTCTGGAAATGACAGGGAAGCTACACCTGTGATAACTCAACAATACAGCTTCCTAATCAAGGTACAGTAGAGGCAGGCCAAGATGGATGGAGAAAGTTTCCCAGGGCCACCACCCCAGATGAAGAGCTACAAGCAATTAAAAGACTGCTCAGAAAGAGAGAATTAGTCTCGTCTGAGGATGAACCCCCTAAGAGGTTAGTCAATGCCATGAGGTCAGAATACTCACAAATGCAACACCAACGGGCCTCAGCAGGTTGCACTTACATTCATTTGCTTACATGTATGTAGCAATAATACTTAAAGAAGAAACCATAAATTTGAAAAAGAGGGGTTGGAGGAAGACAAGAAGGAAAAGAAGGACACATTCTAACTTTTAAAGATCATAAAAACGGAAGAACTACATGCCTAGTCATAAAGAACTGGTATATTTTATTTTCCATACTTTCTTGGTAAAATGACATTCAGGGTGGAAGGAAACCATGACATAAGGCTAAAGAAGATGCCTTCAAAAACAGCTTAAGATATATATACATAAATATGTGTATGTTTCATATGTACTTTATATATATGTGAAAAAGGTCATAAAACTGTGTCTACTATAAGGTCAACTTGATGGCCATGAAAGCCAGTGCCCAGAGAACATTTGTTCACAGATTCCTGAAGGGTGTTTTTCAGGCTTCACTCGTGATAATCTCAAAGTGACAGGGCTCAGGATGAGCACACTTAACGCCTGATGATTTTCTATAGTTTCCCCATTGTCTACAGTGCATTTCAATTGCACAACTGTGGAGGGGGAAAAAATCAACTCCGCAGCCTTTCAAAGGGCAAGCATCTCTCAAGACTGAATGCTTCGTGGTGACTCCAGTCCCAGCTACCTGCAGAAGGACCCTGATGTACAAAACGCTCAGCTGGTTTGCTCACTGTCTTCTCTTTAGCGCTAGATGGTACAGTGTCTTTGGGTTGCACTGTTGCCTCTTAAGCTTTTGCTCACCTGATGAAGCACACAACAAATGTAATGATCACATAAAATAATGCAACCTTTCCAAACTGCTATAAGTGGGTTCCATCCTTCACCGCGCCATTTCTCAACTCCTGTTTCTATGCCAATCCTGGGGGGAAAAATATTCCCAGAAGAGGGCTCACAGAATAGTCAAAACACTTGTCAGAACATCGTCAAGATGTTGTCTTTTAAGGATATAATCTTATGCTAAGGAATGACATATGCCAGGAAATACTGAGATAATGACCCTTCTGGCTGCACCCTGAAAGGGACTGCACAGGGCACCTGGCTTCAGCGGGCTAAGCCGTCACTTTCTCCATTAATTATGACTGCCTTCCAGGCATGGGCTGGACTTGCTGCAGACAGGAAGCTGAAGGTTTCCAGTGACACCCACCAATGAGCACAGTTAATTTTACATGCAGCGCTCAGCAAGGCTGAGGAGTCCCTTGAGGCATAATCATCAATGGGAGAGTGACAGCAGCTTGCCATCACTGAAACCTCAGGGAGAAAGCAAGCTTTCACCTCATAAAAAAAAAAAAAATGGCTTAAATAAATGATTCGGGAGCCATGATTTCAGAGTCTCAACTGAAAGCTGGAAGGAGGTCCAGATAAGAACAGAAGAGATTAGCAGAAGGAAGGAGAAAAGGAGAAATGGGGTCGGTCTTGGGGCCACAAGGCACCTTAGCTGGTTACAGCCTAGGAAGGATGCAAAGTCAACGCCTTTGCAAGATCCATCACCTCAGAACTGGTCCTTGCAGGCAAAAAGTCTGCATCACGTTCTTCCAAGACAGTAACTTCTAAGAGATAAGATGATAAACTTCAAAAGAAATTGAGCTTAAATGCTATACTGCAGTTCACTTTTATTCAACACCCCTCCACACACACAAACACAAATATACCAGCTCTGAAAAAGATAAAATTTTGTCCGGAGGTTTCTTTTCTGTTTAACTCTTCTGAATGGAAAAGACAGAGGGTATAACCACTTACTCTGCCGCCCATCAAATATTTAACCAAAGGCTTATGTAACAATGAAAAACAAGTCTTCCCAAACAAAACAGAAGTCATGATTTTTATCTTCATTCTCCCTACTATTTCCCTAAACTGTGTCATTATGCACACAGTTGGCACTTAATACATGCTTGAGTAGATGAGTGGACAGGTGGGTCGACAGATTGACAGCCTATAAACCAGCCCTGAGACTGTGCAATACACACCTGGAAAACTGGCAGATGAGCACAGTTGGCCACCATTTGACTTGCTTTGCAAGGAAGTGACAAATTTACAAACCAGGCTTCAGTTCCTGAGGCCCTCCCAAATAAATATGATCAGATAGCAGCTACTAAACCACTCCTCCTCACTGACAGGTTAAGAATAAAAGCACATACTCACTTTTCAGACACATTTTCCTACAAACCTAAAACTGAAAGAGCTGCTCCAGTGTGAGTGAGTGAGTGAGTGAGTGAGCGAGCGAGCGAGCAAGTGAGTATGTTCATGCTCAGGAAGAGAGGGGACAACACTCGTAGGGTATGATTATACCATAAGGAAAGGGGGTAGAAAAAAAACGTAAGTTGAGACCTGGTATCTGAAGGAGGTCTATTCAGGTTGGCTGCGTTCACTGCCCTCGGTAAGCTAGGACTGATCTGCTTGCATGCTGTGGAGACCTGGCTTGCTGGAGGTGAAATGGGTCCCAGTCGCTGAACCATCATGGGACTGCTGGTGACCACTAGATTGTTGCAGCTGCCTTTTCCAATGGACTTGCACTGAGGCCCAAAGCCAAGAGCCCCTAAAAACAAATGAATCAGGTTAGCTTTCACGTCCCTTACATCAGCAATCAGTACATACACACGTGCACATTTGTATCGGGGCTCATTTGTAGAGACAGTCCTTGGCCCTTTTTTTATTCTTATTATATTTTTGGACACGGGGTGCCATGTAGCCTAGGCTGCCCTCCAACTTACTACTATGTAGCCAAAGCCGGCCTTGAGCGCCTGCTCTTCCTGCCTCTGCCTCCCAAGTGCTGGTGTTACCAGAGTATCTCTTTAATGTTGATTATACCAAAGAGCAAATGCTTCCAGTCCAAAAGCTGTAATGTTACAGCAAAAAGCTTTTTATAATCACGAACGTGGTTAAATTTCATTGTGTAGAAACAAGAATCACCTGCTGAAAATTATATTGAAAGTCATCCTTCATAATATACTTAACTAAAGAGTGAGAGCAATTTAGTGGATGGAATTATCTTTATCAACCCAGTTCTTCCTGGAGTAGCTAATACTTTGAGTCACACAGCAAGTAAAGTCAATACTGCTGGGGAAGGACTGGCATTTCCCTGATGTCTTTCACTGCAGATCTGTATATCCTGAAACCCTCTTTAAAGGGGAAATAGAATCAGGCTACATCCCTTCAACCTCTAGTTTCCCCCCTTCATCCCACCACAGTGTTTTAAATTCAAGATAGGAAATCCCTAAAACATTCACTTGGAAAGGCAACTGAATTTAACATTTTTTTTCTGTTTTCATTATTTGTAATATTCTGTTGTGGAAAAAAATTGGTACAGACCCAAAGGAGAAAAAAGAAAAGAAAAGAAAAAAAACAAAAACAAAAAAACCCACAAGAATCTGTGTCATTAAAGAAAACCAAAATCAAAGAAGAAATGGCTAACACTGCCATGACACATTTATGAAGAATAATAGTAAAAGCTTAGTAATTCTAGGCATTCCTTTCACATGGACGTACTTTTTCAAACATGTCTGCCAACTACCTGTTCAAGTCTCAAAAGCTGATATTCTATTCCCACTTCCAAAAAATAAATTTGTTACTAGATTCTGACTTTGTCAAACTCTACCTGGGACCAAAGTAAGTAGAATTTGTCATTGTAACTCTCTTTAGCCCTAGAAAGCAAAGTTTCCCATTCTGTTTTCTTCCCCAAATTAAACCAAACAGCCAAGAGCTCTGTTACTTGACATCAGTTTGATTCTATTTTCTTCTAAGAGCCCTAGAGACAAAGCACACCTGGGGGCTATTGAAATATCGCAGTAAGTGAAGCCACACCTCAACCAAGTTGGTGGGGTCACAGCCCTGCCACTTGACAGGGCTGGTTGACCTGATTCACTCCAGGCCTGTGCACAGGAGCACATGACCTGCAGAAGGCCAAACAGGGAATTCACATCTGCTGAAACCCAGGCTCCTCGGTGTATTTTCACAGCATCCGCATGCTTTAGTCTGGGCTCCAGGTGCTCTCTTGAAGATTTTCCAAGATCGCTGGCTCCTAAAGAAATTTCTCAGCTCTCCTTTTCAGGTGTACAAGTTCACCTATCTCTTCCCCCTGAAGAAGATTTCTGACCCATTTTCTTGTGTCTTCCAAGACCAGTTGGAGATACTCCATTTTTTCTGACTCATGTGACACTGGACCCTCAAGGGCTTTGTCTTCAACCAAGAGTGGTGGGTATGGTCTTTAAGCAATAATCATAAACTAAGTTATCTCTGAAAATTCTTATCCATGTATATTTGCATATACTCTTGGAATTTGCATGTAACCTTGGAAAAGGCAATATAATGATACATAGTCTAACCCAGGATATAATAACCCGAGTCGTCTCCTCAGCTTCCATGGCTACTATATGTTTTATTAAAAGTAACATCAGATGTCAAGCATTCAGTCAAATAAAATACCATATACTCATATAATGAATTGTCACTTTATCTCTGTTTTAACCTCAGTAAAACTATTAACATCTATCTCCCTCTAAAACAAAGAAAGACATTAGTCACTCTATCAGTAATCGAATACACAAAAAACACAGCTCAGTAACAAAGTATATTTTGTCAAGTCTAAAATCCTGTGTGTAAATACATACATATTACACACACACACACACACACACACACACACACACACACACACACACTTCAGGGAATGAATCTATAACATGCCCACTATCCTCTCATTTTTTGCGTCTATTGTTTTTAAAGAACACAGGCCTCATTGACTGTATCTCTGCTTCCTTAGAACCCAGCCTATTATAAAGCCATGAAGGCATGAAAATTAAAAGTGGTTACAATTAATATTAAATATTATCCAACTATTTTTATGGAAATCCTGACTATCTTTTGTGAAACACAGGACTATTTTAAATAAAAATCAAACTGAGTAAATCCTTTAATGCTTCTTCAAGCCAAGCTGAATTGAAGGTGAAGCTGATGGGAGAAACATCTGTCCTCCTGGGCCACAACACTGCACTGAACATGTCTTTCTCTTAGAACCCCGGCCTAGACTCTGACATCCACACTGTTTTCTGGTTCTGCAACAGACACCCCAATCCTTCTCTGCCCAGCACCCCCTGCACTGTGCACTACACCAACCCTACTCCAAACACATGAAACTTCCTCTAACCACACAGACATGACCACTGTGGTACCCAACCGTGCATTTCTCAGAAACGTGAAACATCTGTATAAAGCTAAGAGAATGTTCTAGAAAATGACATCACCTATACCTCACAAAGAGAAGTGAAGAATAGTTGTACCACGAACCACTAACAAAGCATTTTAATCTTCCCCCGCCCCCCAGAATAGCCGACATAATCATCACCTCTGAGCTCCTTGGAGTAGGAGTGTGGACGGACTCCCTTGGAAGCCTGCCTGGGGTCAAGACTCGTTGTGTGACCTGGGCGACTTTGTTAATATTTGTAGTCAGTATTTTTATCAGACATCAATGCTGCCTCATAAGGTGGCTTTGCGCCTAACACTAACAATACATACACAGTTGGCACCAAGGATGCCAGCAGCTATTGTCGACAATGTTATTGTTCCTCACCTGTCCTTGCTTTTCTGTCCCACTTTATTAAAGAGGAAAAGTTCTTCACACTTCCGTGTGCAGAACAAGATAGTAAATGATGTTTAATTCTCTGCCCATTTCCAATGTTCTTTCTGTTTTGAGCCTAGAGCCAAAATATTTTTTTAAACCAGGTGTCATCACAGATAGAAGTTTGCAACTGGCCAAGTTTGAATGTTCCCTGGCTTGTTGTTCCATTAAAAACAAACCATATAGCTTTTCTGACGACCAGATGTGCCAACTACTTGGGCACCAGTTTTCTTTTTGAAATATCGCTTATTTTTAGAGACAACATGGTGTGTGTTAAAAAAAAAAATGTGTTTACTGCTCAAATAAAGATCTGAGAGGATGGCATTCTGAGCACCACAGGTTCTAGCCAAGATCACCGTGTACCGGTGGGAAGCCCTTTTTTGCATCTTTGAGTTTCTAAACTAAGTGGTCATTTTAGAAGCATGATTTTCATGGGCGTCTTCATTACTTGAGAATGTTCTTCTCTGGAAGCCAAGTTTGATAAGGTTGTCCTTACCACTGAGAGGGTCCACCTTTCCTAATGCCTTATGTTTATTCACTGGTTCTCTTAAAATTCACACTGATACAGACGATAACAAAAATGAACACAGATGAGGGGGCAGTTCTAACATAACCAAAACTTCCTACTCGTTATCAACTGGCACTTACAGAATGCTAACCATGAGCTAGGTAGCCCATAAAGACAGTGGTGAAAATGAGGCCACAGCCTTGTTTTTACAAGAGAGGTAACTCCTGCCTCGAGGCAGATCATGTAATATTTTTACCAGGCCAAAGGTCACCATGGAAGATCAACTTCTAAATGGGTCAGCCCAAATCACAAAGGGTATTTCAAGGCAAAAAAAATTCTAAGACTGGGTAAGTTCACGTCCCGGCCCCTACCTTCACCAACCTCTGTGGCAGTAGGCAGAGTCCCCTTACGATGTCTCTGCTCTAGCGTCCTCTTCTAAAATAGGAACGGTTATGATGTCACCTGACTCACGGATTGCTCTCACGCCAACTGGTTAATATTAAGGTGCATGACACCACATCCGGGTTCTCTATGCCCCATCTCACTCTGAAACACTAAAGACCTAAAGAAACAATTACTGAAAAACAAAAAAATAATCCCCAAATTTTACCATTTCTTCATCTAACATAGGAACTTAAGAGTTTGTTCATACCAATTTTGGGTCCATTAAGAATAAGCCACAGATTTCAGGTTTTTAAGCCCTAAATGTATAACCATAATACAATCATAACATTCAAGGCATTCAGCGATGGCGTAATACTAATAAAGAAAATACTACGCTCACATATTACACACACAGAGTAACTGCTTTCTAATCCAGGATCACGTCATATAAAGAAAGGTTTTGGGCCACACTCCAATGGTCTCCAAGAATACATTAGCTATCACTGGATCCCAGAGCCCTGAAGCTTGATGTAAAAGTTGAAAGGAAGAAAAGAAGGGAAGGCTAGCGTCCTCTTATCACAAGAGTCAGGAGCACACCTTCGCATCAGAGCCCCAACAACCTCTACCTTCATAATCTTCCCACATTACCTAAGCACCCTTTGGCTCAGTTTCCTGGCTCTGAACTGAGTTTAACGCTAGAACTGTACAGCTCTGACGAGGGCTGAAAGAGCTAGCATGTGTGATACATTTAGCATGCGGCACTTACTAAGTGCTTTTAAGAAAGTTAGCTGAATTTCGAGTCGCATGATAGCTCAGTGGGTAAAGTGTCTGCCTTGTAAACACGAGTTCAAACACTAGGACCCACGTGAAAAATGCCAGGGCCCACGTTAATTCCAGAACAGGGACATGAAGGTAAGCAAACTGCTGGACTTATTAGGTAGCCATCTTAACATACACAGACAGGTTCAGGCTGGTCAGAGACTTTTTCAAAAGAGAAAAAATTGATAAATGTTGATGAAAAAACTCCCCA